ATCCAGCACATGTATCCAACAGCAATGTTCGCAGACTCACGAACACAGGGGGGGGGGGGCACGCAGACCCTAACCCAAATCCGGTAGAATACCTATTGCTGTAGACTTGAAAATAGTACTGACAGATGATATTGTGGACACCTCACTCGTGAGCATCCATTGTAAACATCGATATTGCAAGAAGGACGGATGCTGGCGGAGTAGGGTTAAGGTCCTAGGCGACCAGTATAAGTTTGTTACGGACCCTCACGCAAACATGGACTGGCATACGTTGTTAGGCCCCTCGAGCATAAGCCTGTTGTCAACCAGCCAAAGATCTCGCAAAACGACCCAACAGTTCGCCGACAGAGCAGTTACAGCAGTAGTATCGCCGTTGCTAAAGTTCAATATTTGTCTCGGATTTTACAGAAAGAACAGAACTGCTGTGGATCATCCTCCTTCTCTACTGTACCACCTCTCTCTGCACGAAAACCATCATGGACAATCTTCATGGGTTGGAAGAGATCCACAACGAACGTTGTTCTCCCTCCCAAAGGCCAAACACACGATTTTCAACCAGATCATGCATAGCCGTGGCTCAAACTTCCGATCCTACTGCGTGTGCACGCCGAGACTTTCACGTCTACTAGATCGGGAGGTGGGTTAGTTTTTTTTGGTTGAAAAAAATACCTGCAGTAGGCTTGTGCGGGTAGTCTAGTCTACACATTGGATTGCGTTCGTTCGCAGTCGCCCACATTCCTAGTGTCAAAAAAACATCTTGGAAACAAAAGCCACCTCCACACGGACGCGTACCCATGATTTCGAGAGTCAGGGTGGGTGTGTTGTGTTTTTGTCCTATTTGTTATGGCGGCAGTCCGCTCATTTTTCGTGGTGAGATGTGTGCTACACTTTTAAGTGTATTTTTTCGTACAACTGCAACCATCGAGGGTCACACACAGGACACAGGAGGGGGTAAACACCAGGGCTTTTTTCTTCTTTATTTCTTTCCATGCCCCACCTTCCTACCTTCCTCCTTNGGACACAGGAGGGGGTAAACACCAGGGCTTTTTTCTTCTTTATTTCTTTCCATGCCCCACCTTCCTACCTTCCTCCTTCGGTGCGTGCTGAGTTTTATTTTTATCGCGAGAAGGGTCCAGCCGTCCCTTTCCCTCGTCAACGGTGCTAACGTCGAAGTTTGGTACTCACGAGAGCTTTTTCATTTAACTATATTTCGCTTTCACCCGCAAATTTCGTAAACTTTTCACCCCACGACCTCTCTCTGCGATTAGCAGACTACGAGGATACCACTAGACCACCGGGGCGACCGGGGTACTCAGGGTAGCCTTCACCGAGTACACGAAATGAATTGGCTTTTTTACAACATTGTCGTTGCCAAGCGACGAAAACTCAATCCCGATGGCAAACACTGAGGGGGGGGCTTTTTTACAACTTCGTTGCCAAGCGACGAAAACCCAACCAACCCCGATGGCAAACACCGGGGGGGAGGGAGGGTGTGGTATATTAAAAAATAGGGGATGTCTCTGCTGTTGTTGCGCTTCGCTTGTTGTTGTTGGTTCGAGCTTCGATCGAGAAATCTCATAAGCGTTCAAGCGTGTGATGGGTAACCAGGCTAGCACGGGAGGCACTGGTCGCACACTAGGCCTTCGCGCACAAAAGTGTAGAGAGGCGTACAGCAGTACATGTCGCACCAATGGTGGTGCGTAGCAGCGTCTGTGTTTTGTTGGTGTGATGTGCCCCTCTCCGCGGAAAGAGAGAGAGAGGCCGCTGTGGTGCTGCTGCTGTTGCTGCAACCAAATGTTGATGATCTCCCCTCTCGCTCCCTCCGCCAATAGCTAACAGCAGCAGAGCAGTGTATGGCACACCCTTCTCCCGCCGTCTCGCCCTCGCTGTGGTGTGTGTCTCCCTCCTCCCTGTTTGTCCATGTCTGGCTCTGTGTGTGTGGTGTGTGGTGTGCGAGGCTATCTGTCTTGGTTCAAAATCATATGACGCCTCCTCTCGGTGTTGCAAGGGGCCAGAAACTTCTCTGCTTCAAGTTGGGTACCGACGCTGCACTATCTCGACGCACCGAGCAAGGAATGAAAAGGTTGCCGTTGGGGCAGCTCGGGCAAAATATTACTTGTTGTGAACACGTCTTAAATTGCAATTTGGTGTCGAGATGGTGAAATGGGCTGGAATCTGCTGGCTTCTTTATGGCTGGTCAGACAGACAGGCAGTCGGACAGTCTTGGCTGAAAACATCACCCAACACCCAATGTTTTCCCGTCTTTTTCGCACATACGTACGTACGTACATCACGATCCCTCTCAACAGCTATTTTTTTTTTTTTTTTTTTCCAAATACAACACAACGAGTCCATTTCCGTCAGAGAAAAGAGTCAAAGACAGATTAGCAATGGAATCATAGCGTCAAAGAAAACTACCTGTTGTGTGTCCACGATTTCCCAGACAGCATATATGGACATCTCCCCTGCGGATAACAGGCTCAACAAGACAGTTTGGTAGCTGTGTTGTGTGTCTTATATATGTTATGTTGGGAAGGTGTAGACGAAAAGTGTTGGGCTGTTAGTTAGTTGGGTGTTTTATGTGTGGCACCCTGTTGGTTGTGGATCTCCATCCATTTTACACGTGTATTTCCAGTTTGGTATGCATTTAACGCGAGGAATATGATTTGGTAAGTAATTGAGTTTGGTATGCATATGCATGCATCTGTGTCAAATTGTGCGGCACACGGGAGTGGTCTCCCAGTTTTGTGTAATTTCATGCCCATAAATGTGCGAAGGGCACGGGAGAACATTCT